AATCTGTATTCCGCAATATAGAACTCTCCCCGACCAGCACCGCCTTTTCGGAATATAACACTAGTTATATATTCCGTCGATTGCCTGCTGCACGTGATGAATGCACGCGTGGGAATGAGGCTGATTTCAGACCTAATCAAGGACCATCACGTCTTCACTCTCTGCCTAATCCTAAAACACGGATTCCTTTCGGAGAACTGTCATTCTTATTTTCCTCGATCTGAAAGCGGATTTCGACTCAGTTGACCACTCTAAGTTCTGGCGCTGCATCTCCATGAAGTACGCCCAAGAAGTTTGTTTCAATTTCGCGATCTCCTTAAACTAATGGGTGAAGTCGAGTCCCAGCATATGACACTTTTTTCACCCGAGTTTACCAAGAAAAACGGTCTTCGTCAGGGTTACCATCGCCCCCCGTTTCTATTCAACTTCATCGTAGATTTAATTCTTGAAACAGACCTGTCCTCCTGCGAGGATATTGGCATTGATGTTCTCCTACACGACAAACTGTCTGATCTGGAGTATATAGACGACATTGCTAAGTGAAGATCCAGGTTAGTTGTTCGAGTTTCTGGATAGTTTGAGTGAGTTGTTTGCACCTACAAAGTGCAAATGTTGCTACAACATTGCGATGGTTCAGACCACAGTCTCATTCTCATTAGAAAAGTAATAGAGCAGTTAGACAAATTTTGCTATTTGGGTAGCTACTTCCCACCCGGTGGACGCATTCCGGATGAGGTGTCTGGCAAACAGAAAACTCGATTGGCATTTGCCAGCTTGAGACATTTGTGGTCCCATCGCGACATCCGATTGTCTGTGAACGACGGAGTGTATACTGCGGCAGCTCGACCAGTTGTGCTATACGGTGCAAAGACTTTGTCATTACGGAAACAGGGCCTGTTAGTGTTTGAACCCAACTGTATACATCACTTTGACTCTGCTCTCAACATTCTAATCTTCATTCTGCTCTTTTATCTAAATGGGCAGCCAAAACTGGCACATGAAAGTACATGGTTGACGAGTGCAAAACCTGAAACTGACCAACACTCACTCAATTGCCACGAGTTTATTGCATTGAATACTATAGAATC